CAGCACACAGGTAAGGGTGTGGCTACACAGATATATTCCCTCCTAACTATGAAAACAGGAAGAGCCAGTCAGTAGAACAAACTCCACAGCCTTGGAGTCTGAGCTGGGTCTGAGTCTGAGCTGCAATATTTTTCGCAATACTTCCTCATCCCCTTATCACTCAGTGGTATCTGATGAGGTGAAAGGGAATACCTTCAGTAACAGATTTAAAAACCACTGAAGCTTGTGTTCTCTGAATGTTACTGGAGCTCAAAAATACAATGCATTCTGTAGAGAGCTTATGTGTCTGCGCTGTGCTCACTGAAAAAGCCAGATGATTTTTATCCTTCACTGTGTTGTCTTCATAGTGCTTGTTAAAAATAACACAGCATCCATTTATCTCTTGCGAGCTACCGCCCCAAACATTTTATTAACACCATTCATCCAGTCACGCCACAGACCAGTCTTCTTTTATGTGCTACCCTGGAGGCATTCATGAGCTTTCTTAAATACAGTGCCCCCTGCTGGTAAACCTTATCATTACATTAACATCTACATATCAACACATTCACCAATGCCTTTTCTGTATTGTGACGAATTTTGAAACCCAAGTTAAACTTCATATTTATAATTGCCCGGCAAATGATTACTTGCTGTAGCTGTTTTACCACTATTTCAAGAATGCTTCAGATAAGAAGGAGATTGGACATTGGTCTATAACTAACCAAGACATCAAATCATTGCATTGCTTATTTACACTTTATACACTTTTTTGAAATTGGGGATGTGTCATGTGCTGATAGGTAAAAAGAGTGTGCATTGTCCCTTTCACATAAATGTATAGCAGGACCCATTAGCTAACTAGGTTAGTACTAGGCTACAAATAGAAGTATACAGCAACCCCGTCTGTGTCCAAAAGAAACAAACGCTGCCTTTTAGCAACTGCTACTGACATCCAATGATACACCTGCAGCCAGGCTAGTTATTATTACTAATTAAATGCTTAAAAATTGTTGAAATAGGGTTATTATTTTGTATTTCTAGTAAACATTTATTTATTGTTAGGTATGAAAATGTTATACTTAAAGAACAAGAATGCAGACATACCAATACAACTCATATATTTAAAGTGTAACTGAACTGAACAAAAGTATTGTGATGCTCATAATGTAACTCTACAGATTACATCAGAATAATTTTTAAAATTACAGGAGTATCTATCTATCTATCTATCTATCTATCTATCTATCTATCTATCTATCTATCTATCTATCTATCTATCTATTCTATCTATCTATCTATCTATCTATCTATCTATCTATCTATCTATCTATCTATCTATCTATCTATCTATCTATCTATCTATCTATCTATCTATCTATCTAAAATACATGGCATAGGCTAAATACTTTTCTTTTTTTTTGCTTTTATAAGCATTGGTAACAGTTCGGTGAGGCTCATGGTGGCAGACTGCAACAGAAGTTGTCAAAAGAACATGAGTGAAGGTGTTCTCCTTGATTTAAAGCGTCATTTAATCAAGTTGAGCTGCAAGGGGAGGGTACCACGTCTGTGTAGAAGAACAGATAGAATAATAAAAGTGAGAGGGACCAATTTTAGCACAAAAAAGTAATATAAATATTTTTAAAATAAGATTAGGCTAGCTGAGTTTGTATTGAAAGCAATATTGGAATATTGCAGGTTGTTTTGTAATCATAAGTACCTCGTGATGCAGGTGGGGGGCGAGGAGGTTTGAATGTGCTTCCTTGTGCTAAAGTATCCACAACCCAGCTGAGGGCACTAGAGCAATAATCCATCTGGAAATAAAGAGCAGAATAACATAAAGCTGTATCTGAGAGAATAGCCATTTTTAAACCTCAAGAAAAACCACTTGAAAAAAAGCATCTCATCCTTTCCTTTCAACCTGTTATGTGGCAGGTCTCATCTGTAGGCATTGGAGAAGCTATTGTGGCCTGTTTCCAAGCAGTGACAGTGGCAAAGCCTGGCCCCTGTTTGCCAGTGCTACATAAAAGCCCTCAGTTCAGTTCTTGAATGGCTCTCTTCTCTCAGACACATTTAGAAATTGGTTTTCTTTTCTGCGCTAGATGGTATTGCCTACACAATTTCTTTGCACATGCACGCATTTATACCACTGATTGCACTAAGTTGGTTAGTTTAAGTTCTGCATCTGTTTCTTTCATGTGACATTCTCCAAACCATGAAAGTACTTACTAAAGAATTACTTACCTTCACACAAACATCAACCAGGAAACAACTTCACATTATCCAACCTGAAACTGTCTTTTTGCTGTACAGTAGGTATTTTCCCTATGTTTCAACTTCCTCTTAATGTAATTTGCCAACTGCCACCTGCTATGAAGTGCTTTAACCTATATTTAGAATAATTTAACTCTGCAGACATGCTCTTTCACAGCAGCTCCACATATGTATGATGAATGAATCAAAGGGTACAAAATGATAAGTTGGAGCTTCAATTTTACCTGATTCTCCAGAGACCGTAGTCTGTGTTCGAAGTCTCTGCTTTCACTCAGATGTTTAAGCACACCATCTACCCTATATAAACAAAGATACATTTACTTCAGAATGATGGAGTCACACAGTAATAAATAATGCTGCTCCAGTGGAGGATGAAGGTGTGCTCACTTGGCAGACATCCGTTTGAGCCTTTCTGAGTCGCTGCTTTTCTGGATCTTGTTTTGAGCAGTCAGGAAGTCTTCCTTCTGAATCGTTTCCCACGTTGATAATCTGTTCGCTGCCTTTGCTTCCAAGTCTAACACTGATAGAAAAGACCAAGAGTTGAAATGATTACTTTTCAATTCAGTTTTCATGCTTTCATCACTGCTAAACTGAGGTCAGTGAGCAAGTAAACAAAAAGCCTAGTCTTTTAACTTGGCACTGCCATTTTCAGTTAGTAACTGAGTGATAACAGGGCTGGCACTGTTTAACCAAAACCCACAATTACCAAATAAAATTTAGAAGACATTTAAGAAATTACCTAATTCTAATCATGCGTGGATTCCTCACTCAGCATTTGATTTTTTAGAGTTAAGTAACAATAACTTATTAGAGTAACACCCCTGATCCAATACTGACCAAAGTGGTGAATCTTTACAGAGGGCACTTTGCGGATGACCCTCTTGATGAAGAGGTTGATGTGTGAGAGGATAATGAAAGGCGGAGCCAAAGCAGGACGGGAGTGGTACTCAACAATCAGGTTGTAACGCTGGAACTTCCAGTAGATGTCACTGTGTTCCTGCACTTTAGAGAAAGTGTAGCTGTGTGGATACAAGCAGATCAGAGCCACTGAGTCAAACCATTCAGTTTGTGAATGCAGCCAGAGAAACATAATGACAGACTGGTTCTTTACCTAAACATGGCAATAAGCAGGTTGATGAGCAGGATGTTGGTGACCAGGAGATATACAACTAGCAGAATCACTACCAGCCAGTTACTCTCATGACTTCTACACGGCTCTTCACCGCTCTCAATCAAAGTCACATTGTGTGTACAAGTGATATCCCAGTCCTTGCCCACTGCAATAAATTGGAAAAATAAGAAATGATTAAAATTATAATAACACTCAATTTCAAACTGCTGTGATGAAAGTAGGTTCCAGGAAACTGCAGCATTTTAAAAGAAATTTCAGCTTTAACACAGATTTTCTTATTTTTATGCCAGCTGCACAAACACATGTACCATCCATCTCTTCCACAGGGATCTGTCCAAAGATGTGCAAGTATGGCCTGTAGAAAACTCTCCGAAAAATGCGATTCGGGTTTGGATCATAGGCGTAGATCAGAGCCTGATTGGCAACTCCATACGCCATTAGCCACACACCCAGGAAGAAGAGGAAGAAGAAGATATCCTTTATCTAAACAAGAGGAAATTGTGATCTTGTTTTAGCCATTATATATGTAAACATAATGAGTGTACCGCAGTTGTAATGCCAACTAATATGGGGCGCTGTTTGTAAAGTGAAACATGCAAAAATTAACGGTAACATTTTTTCACATTTAGCTCAAGACCTTACAAAAACATGTTTTTTGAGTAATTGTTTACAACATTTCGTAAAATATTTGTAACTTTACATATTTAAAACACAATTTTAAATATTAAATCTAAATGTTAAATCTAAATATTATATTTAAATCTAAATGTTACAGGAAACTAAATATTTAGCTAACATGCAAATTCAACGGAAAATATCAAAATAAAAGCTTTACGAAAACCCTCCGGTGCAAAAGTGTGCTAAACACCATGAGCTGCTTCACTTCTTGCCTACCAGCACGTCCAGTCATTTAGCTGAAAACATTGGAAGATCCGTTTTGTCGGCCATCCAAAGGTTCAGCAGTAGTGCCCTCTCAGCAGCTGCAGTCTCCACTTCACAATCGCTGCAGCACAAGTCCAGCTAAATCGCTGGACATGCTCATAGGTAAGAAGTGAAGCAGCTCATGGCATTGAGAAGTGACCATCAGGGGAGAGCAGACACAGGCTGTATCCCAATTTAGGGTCTGCAGCCTTAAAGGCCATTTTAAGGCCGATTACATTACAGCGATGTGACGAAGGCTGTCCCAATTCAAAGGCTGCTCGAAATGCGGCCCTCAAATGCGTACTTCATTTCCCTGAATTTAAGGGATGTGGCGGTGTAGACTTCGTGGCCCAACATATACCAGAATTCATAGCGCGATGGTGGGTGTGCATAATTTTGCCAAAAAGAATGGTGGAAGCGAGGTGGCCGAAGAGTAAACTTTTAAAAGTACTGAACAATATGTCACTTATTTATGTGCAAATGTTGAATAATGAAGAACATTAAAACATTACCGTTGGCCACATGTCGGCAGAGTTATGTGACATTAGCGATGTTAGTACTTTCAGTGTTTACTTAAAGCCTTTACTTTAAAATATACACTGTTCAATAGTCAACCTTAATCTTACAGAGAATGTGATGATTTTATGGATAATTAAAGTCAGTCATATATCCACAAACACAACAAGCTGAAAGTCAGTGATGCTGCTCGGTTTGCGGTCCTGAATATCACGGCACAAGCAGGAAGCAGGAGGAGGAGGAGGAAGAGTCAGCAGCAGCTGACACATGGAGAGACTAGACAGACTGTTCCCTGTTTGTGAAGGACTGCTAGAAAAGTTTAAAATAACTAATTGTCTGTCCTGAATCAGTCTTATTAGGTAATGTTCAAATAATTTTATCATTTGTCAGTGTGGGAGAAAGTACTCAGGGCCTTCAGGTTACACAGTATGAAAGGCAGAAACAAGTTTAATATTCAGAAACCTAAAGTATGTATCAGCAGCAGAATGGACCTTGTGGGATTATAATATTATCTTATGCTATGTTATACCCCTAATTAAAGATTGTGAAATTATTATGTAGTTTTAGTTTGCAGTATTCTCCTGAATTAGAAGAAGGTGATAACTATTACATTTGTTAAATTGATTTCTATTACATTAGACTGCTGATTCATGTGTGAATGAATGATATTGTTTATGATGCATTATACTGCTGAGTTATAAGAAATACTGTTTTCAGAGAGTCAGGACCTTGCTTTTTCTGATAGTAGAGGAGACAGAGAGCACATTCCACGGTAGCTTCACCCCCTTCACCACCGTTGTTGAAGGCAGACAAAATAGGGAGCCAAGGCCATAAGTCAGGCTCTAGAAAGAATGTGAATGTTTAGGTTTTTACGACTAGGTGGGGGCCAAAAGAGGCTATAAGAGCTTGAGTAACCCTCCACCAGTTTGAGATTTGCTGTGACCCTCTTCATGGATGTCTCCCCATCCGGATGGTTTGTGCTCTTAAAGTGTTGAATTGTATGGATTAAAGGATTGTTGAGCATCTATACACCGAGTACTGTCCTTCCTTCAGCCTAAAGATCGAAAGAATTGGGAGGATTTAACAACCTAAAATAAATGTTTGTTTCAGTTCTATGAAGCTTTGAGTATTTTGTATTAGTAGCACTGCTGTGTTTGTTGCATCATATTGCTGTAATTGTTTATATGCTTTATATATTTTGAGGTAAGTTGATCTATAGTGTTACATCATATTCTATAAGAATGTTATGTGTTTGTATACTTTCTGCCCAGTTTGACCCATTTAGCAGAAGCCAGCCTGTTTAAGGCTCTGATATCTATTCTGTATGACTTAAAGCAGTTATGACATGGTCTGATTTTCTCACCCAATAAAGGAATATTTAATATATCAGTCTACTCTTCATTCTATCAGAAACAGTTATCACAGCTCATACATTTTCTTTTTATACATATATATGAGCATTGAGCCAAATTTAGTAATGCCAACATGTTAAACGAACAACATTTGTCTCTTATATATAATACATCTATATATACACAGTCAAAGATACTTGTCTTTGAGTGAAGATTTAAGGTGGTAGGAAATATAAATAACTGCAACTTGAATCTTTACTGAAGCTCAGTATTTGACACAGAGTTCACTGCTGTAATAACAAATAATGATTAATATAATGACTATAATATTAGCCATATTATAATTATATTAACAAAGTGAGATGACTTTAGTCTCATGATCAACATTAGTTAGTAAATAACAATTAGCTAATCTTGAAATGACTGTTTAGTACAGAAATGAACCCCAACAATCATGTTTTACAGTCCTGTGGTCTCAGCCTCAGATACTTATCAAATCTCACAAAGCTCATGTAGAAATTTATTTATTTTGGTATTCCCATTGATCCTTACAATAAATTTGCATGTTAGCTAAATATTTAGTTTCCTCTAACATTTAGATTCAAATATAATATTTGGATTTAATATTTAACATTTAGAGTTAATATTTAACATTTAGATTTAACATTTAAAATTGTGTTTTAAATATGAAAAGTTACAAATATTTTAGGAAATGTTGAAAAAAATTACTCGAAAAACCATGTTTTTGTAAAGTTCTGAGCTAAGTGTGGAAAAATGTTGCCGTTAATTTCAGCATGTTTCACTTTACAAACGGTGCCCCATAAACTGATGGTAACTTTCTCACCATCTTTCCTACAATGATGATTTTTGGCCCCAACTGCTTGTGAATGGCAAAAATGTGAATGAGTCGAAGGGTGAAGACCATGTAGTCCAAACAAAGCATATCCCGGCCAAATTCATGTGACAAGTGGAACATCCTGTAACACAAGCAGTTAAGTTGAATCAGTAAGGTAGCAGCACCACCTGGTGGCAAACCTGTAAAATTTGTTTTTTTTAAAGGAGAAAATATTTTAAATTTAAGTGACGAAAAGTTCTGGGGGAAGATGAAAGGAAATTATTTATGCCACGTTACATCCATAGACACAAACTAAGGACAGCACTTATACAAATGTTACAATTTGCAATGACAAAGCTTCATTCAAGTTTTTTTTTTTTTCAGTAATCCAGTATTAACATTTATTATTTTTTATTTCTTGTCCATACCTGCAGATTAGTCCTATAATGAACAGGCTGATGGCAGTGAGGTCACATTTATTCCACACATCCTTAATGTAGAGTCTGAACCTTTGACGCCAAGTCATCGTCCCCAAAAAAATTGTCTTGAAGAAGAAGATAAAAGTTAAAACAAGTAGAAAAAAGCTATACCAAACTATAAACAGGTGACATGTATCCAAACACAGAAAACCACTCTCTATGTGCTGTTGTCATTTTAAAGATCAAGTAGAAATCCAACAGGAATAAGATTTGAATTTATGTGATTTCTTTTAATCTTCAGTGCATTTGTTAAGTTATATGAAATCAGTAACAAACATTAAAATCTAATATTTTTTTTGTGACACAGGAGCATGTTAACCACAGTATTGCAATAGCACTTTGGCAATAGTTCAGTTATTATTTTCAATTCTTCCCTTTACATTTTCTATAGCTACCAAAATTGTCTGGATATAAAGTTCTAAGTAAGATGTGTCTCTTCACTCACCTGTCGGATCTCCTCACAAACGAGGGTGAATACCCAGAAGTACAACACACACTCAGCAGCACCTGGACCTGAGGGTGGTGGGGGCTTGAAATCAGCCAACAGCACGTAGGCGAAAAACAAGAGAAACAGGAAGTACATCAGGACGTTGCCCAGAAAAGAAGTGACCGGTGCAAACCAGAACTGACACCAGCGTGACACTATGAATGGACGCTGTGGTGGTCGGTAAGGTACACCTGTATCAAGGATTATAAATACAGATTGGAAAGTGAGTAAAATGACAGCATATGGAGACAAGAATCATTTCTTTAGTCAGACTTTCTTCTTGTAGTGAGTGACAACACTTATTCAAAGATGACTTTTTAAACAGGACTCACCTTTAATAGTACCACTCCTGTGAACTTCTGAATCAACGTCACTGCTGTAAGAAAAATAAAATTGATTTAATTATTAGACTTTAGCTAATGGAAATCAATAACATAAAGACAACAAACTGATGTTCTACAGATTAACACTGAAGAGTACAAGTAGAAATATTACTGGTGTTTGATGTCAGCGAAAGAGAAGACGGTGGTCCCATAGAGACTGTTAGTGTCCTGGTCTGGCCCATCCTCATTAGGAATTCCTTCCTCCTCTTCCAACTGATTATCTTGTTTTCTATGAGGTAAAATAAGGGGTAAAGGTTTAAAAAATACCAAATAAAATTCCAAGCCTTTCATCTGAAAAAAAAAAGAATTTTACCTGAAAGAGATGAGATTGGTGTAGCAGAGGATGGGGCAGAAGAAAGTGAGCAGGAGCTTCCAGACCTCTGTTTTCCTCTTCATATCACCCCACCAGATATGGGACAACAGAGACTGGAAGAAGACAGAAAAGCAGTCCTTATCCATCAACAGCAGCTCACTGGCTAAACATGAAGGTGGGATGTGTTGTTTTTTGAAGCATCATGCCATTTTTACTTTGTACTGAATTCATTTATAATTCAAATGATTGTACTGTTGTGTATTACATGGTCTCATTCAATGATAGTGTACATTTATAGATTTGATTGTATACAATCAAATCTATGGTCATTGTATACAATGACCTAAATAAGTAAGCGTTAATAAACAGAAAATGTTCAATATTTTTTCATGCAAATATGACAGCTTTTTTGGATAGCGTTTTTATGTTTATTAACATTTGTTATTTATATGTTTAAAATAAAGATTTGATACAACTTCAGATTGAATGCCCATGTACTATTGGAAATTACATTAACGGGGCTGGGATGAGAGAGGAAAATCCTGTAGATGACGTCACTCTTGGCGGCAAAAAAACCAGCATATTAGGTTAAAAACGTTACAGAGGACCAGGGATAGAGGAGGACTGCTGTGATTGCGGCCATTCCCCAACTCTCTGTGGGTGAACTCTGTACTCATGGCCATTAATCAGGGGTCTTTTGATCAGTGGTTGTTGGTAAACGGTCATGACAATTTGAATATCAATGATCATGAAAGTGATGATGACCTGATGATACACTGTCAGTCAGTGGTGCCAGTTTCGGAAGAAGTCAATTAGATGAGTGACAAAATATTTCTCCCACTGAAAACGCTACAACTAAATGAATAGAATCAACTTTTGGGATTTCCTTACCTGGATGATTCAAAATGCGTTAAGACACTTATGAACACAAGCGCGTTCATACACACAGGTGTGATCACAGGTGCTCACGGACACACACTATCTTGGGCTGCTGCCTCTAAATATATTTTATATCATTA